AATTAAAAAAAAAAAAACTACATATGTAAGTTAATACATTATATACAGTCAGGTCTTATATAAATGGATAGAAGAAACTGCTATTGAAAGAATGTAGAGGTAAGCCTTGGTACTGTATCAGACACAGCTTGGGATGCCTACATGCTGTACTAAAGGGCCTGAGTTTGGATACTAGCTCTTGCTAACGTGCACCCTAGAAAGCAGCAAGTGATGCCTCAAGTAGCTGGCCTTGCCACCCACATGGGAGGCCCAGATGAGTTCTCAGATCCTGGTTTTGGTCTGGCTCAGTCCAGCTGTTGCAGGCATTTAGAGCAGTAAACCAGTGGATGGGAAATCTTTCTGTGTCTGCCTTTCAAAAAAAGTAACTTTGAAAATCATACAAAAGCTAATCCATGACGTGAGAATTTAATCTTCAACATTTTCACCTCAGGAATCTAGTTTCCTCTTTAACAGAAAGGGGTCATTAGAGCCAAATGCTTCAGAGATTTCTCTAGAATTTACTGTTTTTCCAGTGCTAACAAGAATACTGAACTACATATGAAAAACATAAGAAAAACACCGTGTCAGTTGTTCCTTTTCTAAATTATTAATGTCTATATGATCAGTATCCCTCAATCCCACGATAGTCCTACATACTAAACTGACTACAAACAAGCCTTGAGAACGATATAAAAAACATATCAAAGACTTAGTCTATTCTCTATAAACTCGCTGGGAACCAGAAAGTATTATTCACTTCAAGAGACCCCTAGAACTTGACACGTGGTAGTTTCTAGTCCTTCCAAATGTGTTATCAGCTAAAATCTAAATTCACAAGTCAACTACAACGTAACAGTAAAACTAAACCCCAATTATTTAAATGTAAAGGGAAAAGGAGCTTATTTCAGGTAGTGAAAATTAAAAATACATTCACTATAAACAGGGGAGTTGAAATGGCCCGTCTGAGTTTGACCTCTTGAGGCAGATCATCTTGATTTGAATCTCAGTCACTAATTGTGTTACTAGACAAATATATGAACCTCTGTGCCTGTACTCCATCCATAAAATGAAGTATCTCACATCCAGGTCTTGAAGATCACAAAGTTGCTACTCACGAACAACTTGGAAAGCACAGTAACAAAAATTAGTCTGGTCTCAGCTGTTATAAGCAATACTACGTAAAAAGGAAAACCATTTTTAATGACAAAAATCTCAAAGATGAAATCCAAATGTTCAAGAGCACAAACTCTGGAGCCGTATGGCCCGAGTGCTAATCTAACTCTGCCACAATGTAATAAGCCCAGGTGTGTTTTCCCTAACCTTTTGGTGCCCTAGTTTTCTATAAAGGCATCTCAAGAAGTTCATGGAAAAATGGAGCTGGTATGTGTTCTGCTGCAAATACAATTGACAGCCATACAGTTTTCTCATAATATACATTTCTATCAGCATTCTGAAGATCCCTCAAATGCACACTTAATTTTGGTGCCAAAAACTTGATCTTTTAACTGCATTTTTCATATTTTTAAGTACCTTTATAATTTCAAAATGGAGATAAAATTGTGTCTACTTTCTAGGTCTGTTATAAAATGAACTGAACTTATACAAGTGTTTCCAACGGTCCAAACACATAGCAAACACTGGATACATGAGCTAATCTTTTAGGCCTAGTTCACGTAATACTTTAGATAATGCAAAGTCCTGAAATATCCCACAAACCTATGTACTACAGTCATGTTGTCAAATGGGAATGTTAAACTTGTCTATGGCACCCAACAACCATCATCTCAATTTATTCTTGTTTATCACCTTATTTAAGACCATACTGCTTGTTCCAAATAAAGGATACAACTAAAGACAGAGTAAGGCTGTTTGAAAGAACTAACAGTTAAAAGTACTCCAATAAGTACTTCGATAAGTTAGTGAAGAACAAATTATTTCAGTATTTCTAATTTGGGGGCTTCAGACAAGAATTTAAAATAAGTAATGACACAAGAAATGTATGGATATCAATGGCTACTGTATCTACTTCTACAACAGAAGTAAAATAAACAGCATGCTCCTTCAAAGCTGTCCATTCACTACAACTGGATTTAGTATCATTTTTAGAAGTTTCCTCATGTGGTTCTGACAGCAACATTTAAATACAAACCACATCAAAATCTTCTATAGGGCGACCTAACAACGTCTCATATTTACCAATTTAAAAGTGACATCTATTGTATCACCAAAATATTTACAGTAAGATATAGATGGTAGTAACTAAGCATACTAGATGAGAAGTCAATGTTCTTTAGTAAACAAGGATTTTAAGTTCTGTCATTAAAATAGCAGTAATAACTGTTTAGAGTATCATGCAACATGGGCCTGTTCAAAACCACATATTAACCTATTAATCCTCAAAAAAACTACGACCTGAAAATCTGTTTTGTCCACTACTGCCATCTCAGTGTCTCGAACAGTTGCCAAGTATATATCATTAGGCACACAACTATTGTTCATTCGTAACAAAAATCTATCTTATAAAGGCACGTAAGTAAGCTTATTCAGAGCTTGAATTTTAATGAGCATTTGTGCTCCTATGTTCACACTCTTAACCATTATTTTATATTGCCTCTCTAGAGCTTTTAAATCATTAAAGTGGTGTCACAGCAGCTGGGTATCACCTGTAAAAGAGAAAAAATCAATGAGACCTTCCTTTAAAGTGTCCTGTTCCACTTATATAAAAACGCTACGGATCTGAAACATTCCATATCTTAGTGGGCTGAAATAATTTCCTGAGGGTTTTGATTTTTACATTGTATTCTTCATATTAAGTACACTACAAAATACAGCAATGCATCCACATGTTAAGTGGTCATGTAAAGGGGTTTATTAAATAATTCCTTATACTTTAGTTCTTAAATCCTCAAAAGTTTTTCTTCCTTTCTTTTTCCATAATCTCAGAAACGAATATTTAAGTTTGTATTCTGCATAAAACAATGGGATGAAGGCCTTAAAAATTTTTCAGTAGTGTATTAAGATTTAAACTTTCATCTCTTGCAAGACACCAGTTTTGCTAAATAAACTCCAAAGTCACACTTACTAATTAAATGCAAATAAAGCAGCATCAGATCTATTTTCCTGAAGCCAAGTTCTTCCAATACCTTCCAAGGAATTTTAAAAAGTAACCTATCAACGCCAGTTCCGAACCTGCAACCTTCCTGTCCCATCTCCTATTTTCCAATAAGGCTGAATTTATTCCATGACATTTTTTTTCAAGTTAGCTGTAAATACTCCACCCTCCTCGATTGTGCAAGAATCAAATACACCACACGTACACAAGTTACGAAAAAGGGAAATACAGTCTCAGAGTTTCAATTCAGGTAAGTCTTGAACAAGGGGTCCTAAAGCAGTGCACAACCTGATATAAAAGTTAACGTTTAACACAGAATATTATTTCACGTTATTTCTAAAGGAGATACCAGAAAGAGCCTGAACCAGTTAGAGCAGCCGCCATCTTAAAATGCGGGACAGAAGTTAGAGCAAGAAAATGAGACTAAACCACCGGAGGTGGAGGTTCCGCTCACCGCCTGAGTTTCAAAAATCCTAGCTTCTTTCAACTTAGATCGATAATTTACTATGAAACCACATTTTAAGTCGCCAAACAATCTTCCCTGCGAGTGTTATTAAACGAACTGAGGCAAAAATAGGTACACCCAGCCTTCCCTTCCAGCCATCTCACCCCCATCTCCCCCGACACCTAACTCCAGCCAAAAGAAAAAGGGAGCTTCCAGAAGGTATTTACATCAGTTCCCAGTGTGCTTCCGATAAACAGCTTCGGGTGAAAATCTGCAACTACCGCACAGAGGAAGTGGCAACATTGTGTCACCCCGGCTCCTCCCAAGCCCACTCAGCCGGGCCTAAAGCTGCCCCGAGTCTATGAAGTTCCACGGCTCAAGCACTACCCTTCAGCACAGGCCAAGAGACTTAGTCCTAACTGCGACCTTAGCGAAGTTCGGGACCCACCAGATTTTTCTGATCTCTCTTCTAGAAGACCTAAAGCCTTGCTCCTACAACTAAAACCAGTTTTTCAAGCACCAAAAACAGGGAGCGCCATGACATCTGCTGGGGTGTCTCCCCGCAATTCCGACCCCCAAACGGGACCAATTCTTAAGAAGCAGAAAAGTCGAGGCGTCTTACATCACTCTCCCGCACCCATAATTTGCAGATTCCATCGTAATATACTCAGAACACCACCTCATTTGCCACAAGTGTTCTCCCTCCCCCAGCTTTAAGCCTCATGCCTTGAGAAAGCACGTCCGGGCTCTTTATCCCCCAATGGGAGAAGTGACCCCAAGAGACTATCTTCGGAACTATAGTTCTGGCCCGGCTCTCCTTTCCTCCCACAACCCCAATTCCCTTCAGCCCCCTCAAGTTACCTTATTAATCCGTTTCAGCGCCATAGTCTGTGCTTTTAGTCTGGCTCCTCTCTCCCTCTCTCGGTGTATGCTCAGAGGTCCGGCCAAAACTCTTGATTATCCGGGCGGCGGGGAAGGATTGTCTCTTGGTCTCACGCCGGCTCTGCCAGACACAGGCGCCTTTTGCAAAAACGGAGCAGATCAGCACTCGCACAGGCCCCGAAGAGAGACCCTGATGAATCCAGGTCCCTTAAAACCGTCGCGCTCCGGGGTGGGTGGGGTGGCAAACCCACCAACAGTCCCTACAGCGAGCTTCGGCCAGGAGCGGGGGTGAGGGTGACGGGAAGAGCGAAGGGGTGGCTACAAGTTTAACTTCCCGGCCTCTCGAAAGGAAGAGAGCCGGGTGGGAGAGGAAGAGGCGTAGGAGAAAGGGGTGGGTGCGGGGCAGGGTCCGGGGCCCGGCAGAGGAAGAGCCGGGGCCTAGTCGGCGCTGCGCCGGCGTCACTAGGGCAAAGAAAGGCACGGGGGGAGGGGGCAGCAGGGGAGTGCGGGCTGCCGCCCGGCTTCCTTCGCTTTCTGCTCAAAGGTGCGGCCGGGGAGGGGAAGGGAATAAAGAAAGGTTGGATGTGTGGCTGTCCCCGCAGCTACAGCTATTCTGTATCGCCCCTGACGCCACCGTACACTCCGCCTTCCAGCGCGCTCCCGCGCGCGCCCGCCCGCCCAGCCACTACCACCACGCGCCCGTGCTGCCCGAGGCTTCAGCGCGAGGACGCGCCCATTCCCCCCTCCCACCCACCCCCCAGCAGGAGAGGCCCCGGCTCCTCCAGCTTCCCCACCTCACCCCACCCAAGCCTACAGGCTGGCCACTCCGGCGGCCCGGCGCCCGGAGGCCCCCTTACCCCGCCGGCACTGGCCAGCCTCCCCTTCCCTGCCCCTGGCTGTCCACACCCACGCGTACAGAGGGGCCGGGGCCTCCCTCAAGCTGCGGCCTCGGCCTCCTCCCCGCGCGGCAGCTGGTGCCTCCCCGGCCCTACGGGGCTCACGCGCACGACACAGCCACAAGATGTCCGCTCTGACGGAACTACTGCCAGCTGCCACGCTCCGCCCCTCCCCCCTCCTCCTGCCTCTTCACCGCCGCGTATCAGTCCGCCAACGCCGCCGTCGCGAGCACGGCACAAATCTAAGGGTGGCGGGGGACGGTTTACTGCCCTCGGCCAGAGCCGAGCGAATCTGGGCCACCCCCTTTTCCTTCTTTTCGGAACAGCACCTTCTTACTAAACAGATCGGAGGTTGGACTGGGAGGGCGGGGGACGGAGGCGGGTCATAGGCTGAGGGGGGAGGGTGGACGAGTGGCGGAAACCCTTAGACTGAGAGAAGCATCGAGAACCGGAAGGAGACCATGGGAGGAAGGTAATGGAAGCGACAGCTGCGCGCTGGTGCCCCACGCCCCTCCCCACAGCGTCCCTCGGTATCCTCACTTGGTATGGAGGCGGCGGGTCTCGCGAGAACGACGTGGACGGCTAACAGGAGCTGGAGCTCTGCAGTGACTTAAGGGCAGTTTTGTGCGCTCTTCCGGACGGGGATCCGCCCCCAAACCTACCAACTCTCGCGAGATGCAGCGGGCCCCCGGCTCCAAGTGGGGCGGGCCCCAAGCAAGCACCGCCCCTGAGTGCTTGTGCTGGTGGGAGGGAGAGGAAATGGAATTCCCCGGACTGGTGTGAGCGCGAGCCGACGCAGCCCTCGCTCAGGCGTCCAATCAAGGGTGTGCAGTGGGAGGTCTCCAGGGTTAATTACTAGATACCTTTCGTCGGGGTTGAGCAGGGTCCTTGAGGGTTCCCGTGCGGCAGGTGAATGATATTTACTCACTTGCCCTCCGGGGCCGGTTAACTGGTGGGGGAAGGCGCCCCTCGGGAAGGGAGCGGTAATTTTAAGTGGGTCCCAGCTGACTGTGATCAGTGCTCCCACGTGCGGAATCCTGGTGCGTTGCTGACCCTCGGTCGGTACTGAGAAGTTAAGAGGCCCGTGGGCCGAGCTCCAGCGTCGGAGCGGCCTCGAAGCCGAGCTCAGTGACCGCGAGTTGCGTGGCTGGAGGCGAGAAAGTGAGGGGCGGGCTGTTTGTCTAACCCGAAGCCCCTGTTCCGTCAGGTTTAGGCGTGGGAACAGCGCGCCTGATAGTTAAGTATCTCTCCTCCGCCCCGCTCAGTTGCGGTTCGGTTTTTGAGTCAGAAAGTGGCGTAACCCGATCCAGAACGCGTGGAGTTTGGTGTTGAAGAGCTCAGTACTCGCCGAGATACCCCGGGGCTACTGGGCTGAGGCGCGGAGAACTGGCCTGCCTTAGTGTGCCGCCGGGTTTAAGTATTTAGAGGGCGACTTTGCGCTCTGGTGTGTTCTACAGGCAAAATATAGTAAGACCTTAATTTTGAGGAATATAAAGGCGGGTAAGCAGTGATATGCTTAAGGGTTTGTTTTTTTTTTTTAACTTTCCTTAATGAGTTCTGTTTACCGAGGAGGGAAAAACAGGACTACATGGAAAAATGCTTGCTTGTTTTTTTTTTTTTTTTAACATTTTTTTATGTTGGAGAAAATATTACCTAATAAAAACCTTCACAGGTCAATGATAAATAACAGGTAGCGTTCAATTGATCATACAGTGCACCAGAGCAGTTACCAACAGTGCCCCTCAAAGACCGTGAAAATCACCTGGAGTTTTGTTGAAAATGTGGATCTTGATTTAGCAGGCCAGGGGTGGAGCCTGAGGTGACAGGCTTCCAAGATCCTAGGTAATACGGATTTGTTTTCTGGTCTGACCCGCCCTGTGAGTAGCGGAGCACTCAGGGGCAGCCCTCATGGCCTCCTGGACACCTCCGCTTCCTTCCTCCCTCAGGAATAGGCTATTGTTCTCTTCTAGCTAACCAAATATAGTAGAAGCACAGGAGGGGGAATGGGGGAGGAGGGAGGAACCACCTCGGACTTCTTGTTTGATACTGATCTGGTTACTTTGTTTCTCTACCGCTAAACCAGATGTAATAATAGCTGTCCCTTCTCACAGGGTTATTGTGTGTTTGAAATGTCATAATGTCAGGACACTGTAGATGTAGATGACACTACTGTATAAATGTAAGTTTCTAAAGTAACCAGTCAGGTGTTAACTGGCCATAATGTGAAACAAGTGTATGTGATAAATATAGGTAATGTTTTGAATTTATCATGTGCCAGGCACTGTGCTTATTGGCTTTCTTACAAATGAACAAACTGAGATAGATTGTTACTGTACAAAGATGACACAGCTACTAAGTGGCAGAAGTGGAATTTGAACTCATGCAGTTAACTTCAGAGTATTTATTGGAGTTTCATACTGTCTTTTAATTTAGAAAGAAAGTACACTATCTTGTAAGTCTACTTTAAATGCCACCTGAATCTAATTTTATTTAATTTCTTCATTTGTTTTACTCCTTCAGAAGCCAGGGTACCAAGGATGGTAGAAAAATTCCCACCTACCCAAACGAAACTCACAAAAAAAAAAAAAAAATTTTTCAGGGAAGTCAGTGAAAAAAAGTCTCAGAGAAGCCAATTTATATAATCCTAATCTAAAAAGTTTCAGTTTAAAAGTATAATGGAACGTTAAAACTGTGGATTTACAGAGCCCAGCAGAAAATTACAAATTTGAGGTCACAATTTTTAATTTTTTGTTCAAACCACTTTGTCAATCTGATAAAGCCACAGATCCTTCTCAGGATTATGTAGTGTTTTTTTGTTTTTAATTTGAGAGGCAGGGACAGAGACACACAGAACTTGCATCTTCTGGTTTACTCTCAAATGCCTGCAGTGACTGGGGGTCAAAGCCAGGAACAACAAAACTCAATCCAGTTCTCTCACATGGGTGACAGGAACCCAGTTACTTGAGCCATCACTTACTGGATGCTAGGGTCTGCATGAGCAGGAAACTTGAGTCAGGAGCTCATGCTGGGATTCAAATCTAGGCATTCTGAAATGGTACACTCATGTTCTAACCAGTTTCTTCTCAGCTATGCCGAACACCCACCCAGCAATAATGTCTTATATATAAAAAATGAAATCCACTGCATTGTAAAAGAAAATATTTGAGCTACAGTTGTCAAAATATTAAAGAAAAATTTGTGATAGACATCTTTGTGTTTTATTAACATGGTTAGATCTAGTGGCTAGGTCTTATTAATATAGGTAAAAATTTTAGAATAAGGATGAATATAAGTGATATTTCTAGAGTTTGCAACAGTTGTGATAAAAAGTGTAATTTCTATTGATAATACAGATATAGGTATAACTAATACTGCCATGTTGTGTACATTTACATTTGGAAGAATGCTAATTTTTATAGATTAGTAAAAATACATAATTTTTCCCATACATGTTCACATACCCCAACTCAATCGATAAACTTCATGTTAGCAAGTCTTGGATAGTCTTGAAGAGATTGTGACATTTTAACACAGAACTGTAATTGATGCTCATAATGATAATGATTCATCATGAAAAAGCTTAGTGACAACCAGTATACTTTCTAAGAAGGTATAGAAGTATGTAATAGGTTTAAGAAATAGTTGGGGCTGGCACCATGGCTCACTAGGCTAATCCTCCGCCTTGCGGCGCCAGCACACCGGGTTCTAGTCCTGGTCAGGGCGCCAGATTCTGTCCCAGTTGCCCCTCTTCCAGTCCAGCTCTCTGCTGTGGCCCGGGACTGCCGTGGAGGATGGCCCAAGTGCTTGGGCCCTGCACCGTATGGGAGACCAGGAGAAGCACCTGGCTCCTGCCATCGGATCAGCGCGGTGCACCGGCCGCAGTGCGCTGGCCGCGGCGGCCATTGGAGGGTGAACCAACGGCAAGGGAAGACCTTTCTCTTTGTCTCTCTCACTGTCCGCTCTGCCTGTCCAGAAAAAAAAAAAAAAAAGTTGGATCCCATTTGTTAAGTTTGTGGGGAGGGCTGTAAAGCTTCTTTGGAAAATGATTCATTTCCCAAGTATTTTGGATAACTTGAATTTTATTATATTCCTTTATTACATGCCTTTCTAAATAAGATGTGACAGAGAATTACAAAATCATATGAGGGCAAAAGTCATTAAATATTGTATATATTTTAAATTTTTAAAAATTTTTATTTGTATAATATGTACTAGGTCCTTTAATTTCTTATCTGATTCTCTTTCACTGTACAGGTGAAAACTCAAGACAAGAAATAAGTAGTACACCCATGTACCACTACTTTCTTAAACCTATGTAGTCTGACCACAAAGCTCACACATAAAAGAATGTTTTTTTTGAAGACAGAAGGACAAGGACAGAGAGAACTCCCATTAGCTGGTTCATTACCCAAATGCTGAAAATGATTAAGACTTATCTGGGCCTAAGCTGGGCACCTGGAACTCAATTCATGTCTCCCAAGTGAATGGCAGGAACTCCTAAGGACTTGAGTCATTATTGCTGCCTCCTAGGATCTGCATTAGCAAGAAGCTGGAATCATTAGCTTGATCCTGGAATCAATCTTGGCACTCCAATGTGGGACATAGGAAACTTAACTGGAATCTCAACTATGAGGCTAAATGCCAGGAAGCTGATTAGTTTAATCATTTGCTATTAGCTGATGTCAATTTTCCCACTAATGCAACACATACACACATATACATACGTTTGCTAGCCCAAAATATTTATGTACTCCTTAGTGTTACAAGTAAAATTCTACCCAATGACTAACAGATATTTTCCAAAGTACTCCTTTGCGTAGTACTTGATATACCCAATATCACCCCTTAAGTGGGCTATTGCACTTAGGACTAAAAAATAGTTTTGTTTTGTTGAATTTTTTGTTCTAATGGAATTTTGCTTAAAATATGGATCCTGGGGCCAGACATTGTGTCTCAGTGGGTTAAGCCACGTCTTACTGCAATTCTGGTTTGAGTCCCACTACTCTGCTTCACTTCCAGCTTCCTGCTGGTGCGCTTGGGAAGGAAGTGGAAGATAGCCAAAGAACTTGGGCCCCTGCTGAAGTAGGCAGGCATACAGGTTAAAATTGATCAGATTTGTGAACTGGAAGACCACGCCCCTGTGTGACCTTATGCTCCTACCTGATGCCTTTGCCACGCCCCTGTGTGGCCTCATTCCCCTACCTGGCCACACCGGGGTGCCCACCAGCCAATCAGGTTAATTAACCACTCCCCTTTGGAGTGGGTTAAAAGCCTAGGGCACAGTGTGCCTGGCCCTATTCTTCTTCCCTGGCCTCTTGCCAGGACAGGGCTTGCTGTAGC